TCCCTTCCCTCAGGCTCCCCTCTGCAGAAAACATCCGCTCCTCACCCCGAAAGGCGTGGGGTCCAGCCCCCTCACCCGACCCTTGTTTCTGGCCCCACCTCCTTCCTGTCCGCACTCTGCATTTCGGACACTGAAGTGGGACCACCACTGTGCCTCGGTGTACACGCTCGGAATCCCCCTGAAGTCCTGTAACGTTTGGGGTGTATCTCTGAAATGCTCACCTGCCTCTTCTCTTGACCTTCGCACCGCCTGGTCCTCGCTCAGCCTCCGGTCAGGAGATCGTGTCCGGCTCCCACCGGTCAGCGAGGCTCCTGGCTATTTACACAAGAGAATTTGCACTTTGCGCTTTCGACACTGGGTAACAGCAGCTGCAGCTCAAAAGATGCTGGGCGGGACCGTGTCTACCTTGTAGCCCAGTGTGGTCACCGAAACGCGCGCAGCGAGCGTCCGGCGGGGTCGCCGCCGGGGCTGCACTGTCCCGCTGTCCCCAGAGACTGAGCCCGGGGCCGGATTGTGTTTCAGCTTTCCACAACCCGGCCTGGGGCTTCTGCTGTCTCTCATCTCTCTCTGACTGATTGCTCCCTCTTGCCACTTTCTGATTCCATCCATGCCGCACTTGAAATTTGGGTGAGAAGGCCCAGTGCTGGTGTCCCTGCAGAGACCGGGTCCCTGGACACTGTTGCTGGCCCGGGCCGCGCCTGGCACTGTCACTGAGCCCCCTGCTCTTGTGAGCTCCACCCTCGGAGGACACAGCCGTGCCGGCCACACGTGCCTGTGAGGGGCATGCGTCCACAGGTGGGACCCCACACTCCCGTCACCTTGAATGCCGAGTCTCCCGCTGTCCATGCTAAAATTCAGAGCATGGGTCCCCCCAGTCCACGCTGAGAGAAGGAACAAGGATTTCTGCATCCAAGCCAAATGACAGCGCGTTGAATGTATTTTTCTACAAAACCTATTATCCACAACAAAAACTGAAAGAAAAAGTCAACCGTTCATCGTGATGCTAGGCATTTACAAATGCATTGATTAAGTGTCACTGCTCTGATAAAGTCACTGTGGCCCAGCTGCTCCAGAGCTGGGGTGTCTGCTGCTTCCGGTGAAAATGCGTGGGCCCCCCGCAACTGGCCCGTTGGGTTACCATCATCTGGGCACCCCCTGCTTCTTCGCAGTCTCCGTGAGAATAAGGTCCCCACCTGAAGATGAGTCAGCCCTCCAGGTTCAGTCCAGGAGACACCCTCTGGCTTCAGCCTGAGCACAGAGGAGGGGTCATGTATTGTGGCACTAATGACGTTTCCTGTGGGACCCAAGGTCAAGGGCTGGATTCAGCGCTTAGAAACACGGGAACTTGATAGTTGAGCCTTGTGGGAAGCGTGAGACACACGCCTGCCTCCCTCACGTCCCTTCCCTCTTGACTCGCACTGACTCACCCTCCTCTCCCAGTGGAAACTGCTGCTACCTGCCAGCCCACCTGGCACTGTCACAGCCCTGGGTTCACGTGCCTCCTGTCTGTGCGCCTTCTAGGCTGACACTAGAATTTTCATTCTTTCTGACTTCAGACTCCCCAGCAGGGAATTTGAATGACACAGATTGGGCTGGGAACTCACCCTAAGCCCATCAGTCACCAGCTCGTAAGCGGGCCCGAAAAGTAGCACAAGGTCACCTCAGAGGGGGCCGTTGGGGGTTCGGACACGTGGCCTGGGAATTAGCCCCTAATGCAGCGTCTCCACCCAGGAAGTACGTCGGGAACTTGGGTGGTGAAAGGATCAAATGATCCGGATTTGCCTCTTGAACTTGACCTTTTCAGGAAGATGTTTGCTTCCAAGGGACATCTGTTCTCAGCTTGTTTTTACACTGCTGAACGTACGCCGTCTTCATTAATATGCCAAATAGCACAGAGAAATAATAGTGCTCAAATTAACATGCTGAGGAGTAGCCAGAACAGGTATCCAAAGCCAAGCTACCAAGCGGTTCTACGCAAACCTAAAAGTAACCCAGAAGAGGAGTGACTCTTGTCTTGAAATTATTAGATAACATTTCCGTAGCAACTGAACAAAGGTTAAGTCTCTAAATATTTTTCTTTTGATTAATCTGGCCATGGCCATTCAGCTAGTATGTGGCCCCAAGTCAGGACCATCTTACTGTTCTCCAGGGTTTCATTTTTCCCCCCTTATTCTCACCTCCCGACTTTTAGTCCAGCATAACTAACATCCTTCCTTCAAGATGTGATTTTTTTTTCCACCCAATTTTTAGATAGTCACTGGATCTGTGATTAGAAAGAAAATGAAGTAGAATTTTGGTAAAATTCTTTCTGAATTATTGTAGATGTTTGATTACATAAGTTTAGGTGTTAAGCTCACTGAAAACTTCTGGCTGCTGAGACATTTTTAGATCAGAGTATAAAATGAAGATGGTAACCAAGCAACGTGGTTCTTGTACAGTTATTAAAAATAACATGTGAAGCTTCCACGATGCAGAATAATCCTCTGACAGGTCTGTCTGGCTTTCACTCTGCTGCTGGCTGGAAAAGTGGGTGTTTCCCTTTGTCGGGTTGCTCAATTCTTTCTTGGGTTCAATTTCTTATTTTTTAAGATTAGGATGGCTGAAAATGTGTAAGCACACACACATGCAATCATACTCACTTAATATGATTTAAACATCCTTAAACATTCCTTCACAGACATGATGGCCTCTCCATGTGCACACGTTTACTACAGACAGAACTAGGACCTTGCGTTCCGCAGGACGATCATAAGCCCGAGTAAACAGATGCCTGTCCTCTGCGGAGCAGCGTGTTATCGGTTAAACTTCTGGAAAGCTTTCATGTAACGAATAGCAGTGTTCAAAGAACAGCAAGGGGTGTCCGGATGCCCACATGCTTCGGTCCTTTCTTGATGCTTCGCGATGTGTGGTGTTGCCTGAGTAACCGAGAACCAGGCAGAGCGACGCCAGATACACTCAAGTGAAGGGGCCTTCTGTGTTTCTGGAACCTCTTGGACAGCTCTTTGGGGCTTCATGTAAAAGGGGTGTGAGGTGAGCACAAGGCGTACCGTTCTTTATTTCTGTATCAACAGTCGTTTTACATAAGCCGCATAGGCGGATCTGTGTCCGAGTCAAGCTGATGATGCTCTCAGGAGCCGTCTTCCCGGACGGGCCTCAGAGTCACCTAGGGAGCCTATTCCACCCGACGACGCTGGCCACGGCGTCGACGACCACGTTCCTCGGAGTCTGGGCACAAGTGTAACTAGCTGCGCACATAACCCTGGTGTAGGCCACTCTGTCCAGCGTCCCCCATCTGGCCTGAGTCGTGCGACGACGGCTCTGGCCCAGAGGGACGTGAGCTTCACAGCAGCGCAGGCAGATGCGTCCAGACCCCAGGCCGGGCAAGCTCCCCCTTACCTCAAAGCCGTCTTCTAGAAAGGTGGGGCTCGGCTGCGAAACTCCCCGGCAGAGGCTCGGTGGCCGTCTTTGGCTCACCTGATCTCCAGTGAGAGGCCAGCAGCTTGACTGGGAGCTAACGCTTGGCCATCGACCCAGATGCTGAGAAAGTAACTGAGGCAGAGACGGGGCTCACAGGCCAGCAGGCGGGCAGAGAGTCGGGGCTCCCAAGACCCGTGGGGCACCGGGTGGGCGGTGAAAGTGGAGGGAAGTTTACTTTGTGGCCAGCGCCCTTGGGGGGTTCCCGGACACAGCAGGACCCCCGTCTCCTTCCCCCTCGCCCCCCGCCAAATTGTCCTTCATTCAAGACCGTGATGTGACTACTCAGTGTCATGGGGACAGGGTGAGGGCGCGGGGACAGGGGGGCCAGAGGTGCCCAGCGGAGGAGCCTCGGCAGCATGGATGGTCCTGTCCGCGGCAGGCCCCTGGTCAGCCGCTCTGCTGTTCCCACAGCAGTCTAGAACATTCCCAGGATGGGCGTGCTCTTGTCCTGCCCTGACATGTCAGACAATCTCTTAGCTTTGCCGGTGTCTGTTCCTCCTCCGGCGGCTCCGCGACTCTCCCTCCCCTCCTATCTCCAATTCCTCCACTTTGGGTGGACTTGCCCTGTGTCCCCCTGCAGACCCTGGTGCCGGCGCTGGGGACGAGCGGCCCTCCCGCGCAGTCCAGGGCCCAGCTGGCCTCCACGTTAAGAGGAAACTGCGTGATTTCAGTAGTGTGAGATTGAGCCCCTCTTCTTCTGTGGATCTTGGCCTTCAACTCTAACTGCTCGTGGTCCCTCCCTGCCCTCAGAGAGGACAGGCGCGAGGCAGGTGAGGAAGCCAAGGCCCTGCCGTGTTTGCAGGACTCAGTGGGGCGAGGGGGGCTGGGACCAGCCCACGGACTCCACCCTGAGAGTCACGCTCCATGGCTGCTCTGCACACTTAATGCCGCCTGACCCAAAGCGGCGGCCAGAGACACCCGGGGCCTGGCATCGAGGCTCTCGCACTGTACAGCCTCTCTGGCTAGCGCTGAACTTCTGGTGAGCTCAGTTTACCTCTGGCCTCTTCAGCAACTCACTTTCACTTAGTACGTGGGTGCTGCATCAGGCGAGGTTCTAAGAGGCCTCCGGTCAGCAGCTCACGTGATCGGGGGCAGGACGGGGCGTAGAGGCCATCTTGGGCACGTCATCATTTCTCCCTGTGACTCTTCTTTCCTCTTTGGCAAGATGGGAATGATAGTCCCTTCCGCACAGGGTGTTGAGATAAGGGAATCTCTGGGAAGCACGGTGCCCGGAGCTAGGGGTTACTCTGAGGGTGGTGACGTCAGGTAGAGTCCTGGCCCCTCCTAGGTCTCTGGTGCACACGTCACTGAGGAGATGTCACTTGGAGGCCAAGTGTCAGCATGAAAGTAGAACTCGGTATTCAGCCATCGCTTAGCATTAGAATATCTTTTTCTTCTGCTGATTTCATTTTGATAGACACAAACATCTAGTCCACGAATGCAAAGCAAACAATCATGGTGTTCCTCTCCCGAGGAACCAGCCCTGCCCCACAAGCGATGACCTTTCATTTCCCTCTCTTTAGGATTCGATGCCTATTTTACGTCCCGTACGCTGGAAAACAACAGAAGAAACGTATGGTTTGCCGAATACTGGGAGGAAAATTTCAACTGCAAGTTAACGATTAGTGGGTCAAAGAAAGAAGACACGGATCGCAAATGCACAGGTAACTTCATCCCCGTGGCCCCGCCCTGCCTCAGCGTGGCCGCCCTGGCCGTGTGTGCACCGACAGAAGGAGCTTGGCTGGAGACAAACTGAAAAAGCAAATTGAATTTTACTAGATTGTTCAGAGAACAGAACAGGAGCACAAGTCCTGCAGGATAAGATGCGTGAGCTAATACGTGCTCTTCTCTGCTGCTCATCGCGGCACTGAGGTTTTCTTGATTCCTTGACTTCAAGGCGGGGGGTGGGGGTGGTGGGTGTTCTTTTCTCCCCCTGGTAAACGTCCGTTCATGCTGTAGCCAGGACCACACTGTCATGTGCAGGCAGACAAAGCCCCCGGAAACCGCAGATCTGTGGCTGCGGAGGGTATATTTGGTACGGGAACACAGGAGGAATGAGGAGTCCTGATGATTTCACGAGTTGAAGGCAAACCTGCTATTCCAAAAATTAACTTGAACACTCACCATATGTAACCGTGCATAAGTATTCCAAATCTTAAATACAGTGTACATGGTATGTTGGGGGGCTGTGTGTGCATGTGTGACCACCCCAGAGGTGGGGATAGGCTGGACAGGGAGCGTGAGGCCACGGTTGGTGTACAGGCAGAAGTGGGGGGCAGGAGGCGCCAGGATGACACACGGAGTCAGTGCTTGTCCATCCCGAGTAGAGTTTGAGCACCTCCTCCTCGTGAAGCATGTGTGGGCGTTGGGGGCTGGGGGTGAGCGGATTAGGGCCCAAGTTTCACGCTCCTGGGAGTCTATTGGGAGGAGTGAATGTCCTTCCAGTCACCCCTCTATGAATGCATCAGTGGTGTTCTGGGCATGTTCCAAATAATCCGCTCGTACTGATCCCAGAAGCAGACTTGAAAGACACCCTCGAGGGCCAAGTAGGTGTTCGTTGGTTAGGAAAGAGAAAGGACAGTATGGGAACTTCTGCCAAGGAGTCGCGTAGCAAAAGACTTGTAGCAGGAGGAGTTGTGGAGCCCTGAGAGTTTAAAAATAGGACTCAAGTAGAGAACAGGACAAGTGTGCGTGAGACCCAACGTGTAAGAGCTGCAGACCAGGAGTAAGCCAGGTAGGACAGGTGGGAACTGGTCTTCATCCCAAGAATCCTGAGATCGTGAGAAGGTGTTACACGAGGGTGTTTCTGGGATGTGGTGCCATCTTGGTGCCCAGCCCTCTGGGACAGCACCCCCAGGTCTACCTGCCACCCGGCACACCCTGGCCTTCAGTCATGTGGGAGAGCGGTGTCCCCGTGAGAGCGGGCAGTCGTGCTCACAGCGGTCAGCCCCAGCGTTAGCTCAGCTGTGCAGTCCAGGGCCCGGATATTGGTCCTCCAGGTAGTACAGAGTCAACCGCTGGCAAATATTAAACAGGAAAGCGTGATGCTGAAAACACGGCGCACTGGTGCGTGGATGGTTAAGTCTGGCCTCTTCCTCAAAGGGTTTTCTACCAATAAGGAGAGAGGAAGCAAGAACAGAGCAGGAGTAAAAGCAGCGATACACGTCGATGACTATGCCCACGTGGACATGGGGCTCGATTAACCCCACTGTCACATGAGCTGCGCTCCCCCGGCTACCGTGGTTACCCGCAGGGTTTTCAGAAATATGATCCTTATAATGTTGCGGGGAAAGGGAAAAAAAATTAATTCAATGTTGACTAGACCTCGGTGACACAACGCTTTCAACTGGAAACTAAAAAAATTAGTTTGACATCTGGATAATTTGTCTATGTGACAAGGAACATCAAGTGTGCTGAAGCAGCGGTGACGGATGGCAGCTCTCTGCTGCTTTGCGACACGTGGCGTTCTGTGGAGTGTCTGCGAGGGGGGTGGGTGCGTGGGGCTGTTGCTCTGCCAGAGGCCGAGCCCCAGACCTGTGAGCACAGGCTGTTTCCCCTCTGGCCACCTTTGACTGCGGAATCGGGGTTACAAACGTAAGGGCGTTGTCCAAACCGCCTCCTTTCAAAACGCAAATGGGCCCATGGTGTGTTTCCTATCGTGCTCCTTCCAGGAGAAAGAGCTGTGCTCTCATCTCTAGCTCCCCGTGGCCTCACGGCCTCTGGGGCCCCTTCCTCCCCGCCCCTCCCTGCCGCCAAGACTCGCCACGTTGGACGGAGCTTCTGCTGCGGCACTGTGTCCGTCCACTACTGCTCCTGAGTAGGAGCGTGTGTGGTTCCGTGTTCGTGTCTTGTGTGAAAATCCCTTCTCCAAGTCCAAATATTTAAAAACGTTCAAGCACAGCTCAACTTGGACGTGGAGAAATGAGAGGACAAATGTGCTGAGGTTGTCTACACCAGAGGGAAAGAAGTGAGGGGAAGCGACAGCTGTATTAACGCGACTCTTGAAACTGCGGAGGACGAAGTTTTAATGATGGGCAAGAAAAGGTGGGAGAGGGAGGCATGGGTGAGCTTATGCGTGTGCGTGACATATGGGGGCTCTAAGGAGCTTTGGATTCTTAAACAAGCCCGCTGGGAAGAAGCAGGGTCTGGCCCGGCAGATCGTGTGGCCGGCAGGTGTTTGTTCCCAGAACGTGCATTGCCCAGACTGCTCGGTCGCACAGAACCAGGCTTAAAATATTCACTTCTGGGTATTCATGCACAAATTAAAATGCTTTTCTGTTCCCCTGGACTCTATAGCTTCTTCAGCGTTCATGGACTATTTATTATCTATTAGCTGAGTGGACACACTGAATCAGCCATCCGGCCAGACTAGATTAGAAGGGGAGATGCACTGGAGGAGAGCAAGCGTCTGTGCTGAGGAGATGACCCAGCTTGGTGCTAAAGATCCAAGATGGTGCAGGTCACGAAAGGAAGAATAACGATTGAAAAGATTAACATAAAATAAAGACTGATGTACATGGAGTCCTGTGGAAACATACCTGAACCACCGTGGCGTCCTTTCCCCTACAGATGAGCTCATGCGTGGAAACTGTCCTCACAGGGGGCAAATGACCAGACTGTCCAGTGTCTTAAGAACATCCCAGGTTCCCCTGACACAGTGCCCGGTCTCCCGACTTTGGGAAGTAGAAGTTCTCCCTCCTTTCCCTGGTGGTGTCCGGATGTTCTAGACTGTTGCAGAAGCCTTGAGGGTGGCCTGTCCAGTCACGCGCCATCTGCCTCCTGGGGTCAGGCCGTTGAGCACATTGACCGGTGGCGTAACTGTGCTGCCGCAGAAAGCCGTGTCCTGAGGGACGGCCGTGTGCGTTGCGAGGGCCGAGCTAGGGACACACGCAGAAGAGGAAACCTCTGGCCCGCTCACTCAGACCACGTGTCCGCTTGAACAGAAAGAACTAATTTTTTTTTTCAGTTTTTATTGATTCGCTCTCCCCCGCCACCAAGCTGAGTGAGCTCACCCCCTACCTTGCCAGTAGGTAGGCCCCTCACACAAAGACCAGTGTAGACACCAGTGTAGGCAGTGATCGTCCGGGGAATGTGTCTTGTGGACGCAGCAAGGCCACGGAGAGGAGAGGCCCACACGTGACGTGGCTTCTCGGAGAGGAGACCAGGAAGCCCCCACCCTGAGGGCTGGGCACCACAGTGTGTGAACGGGCCGCAGAGAATCCGTGAAGCCCCGGCGGGAGCTCGGGTATTATTGCACTGCCCCCCCCTTTTATTACCGAAACAGGAGTATAAAACTTTAATTACACCCAGAGTGGGGGGTTAAGTGAGGTCCTTGGTGGCGCCGGTTGGTACCTTGTAGCTCACCGGCTGTGCTGGGCAGGGCACAGGTGGCCTGTGAGCGTCTCGGTCCTTAGGGAGAGCAGGTGCCTGACAGATTCTGACAGGAAAACACACACATTAGCACGTGCACATGGGCCAGAGCGACCCACCGAGGGAGCCCCGGACTATGCTGGGCCTCCCCACTAGTGGCGAAAGACCTGCGGCCCCAGGCGCCAGGAGCTCTGCCCCACCGGCAGACTGATCCAACTTGTGTCCCACAGTTGTCGCCAATCCCACCCTCTGGGTCCGTAACACCCTGCATCTTTGCCCCCAAGCATTTTCCTCAAACCCAGAAGAAGGCGGTTCAGAGAATCTGAGTGTTTGCGAATGGCAGCCCAGGGAGACCACCAGTGCCACGCCTAGGGCCTGCCCAGGACATGTGTCCAGCATCACCGCCCTCCGAGAGCCGCTTTGCGGGAACCCATGCGCAGAGCCCCCTCCTTGCTGACAGGAGCTCAGGTTAGCAGCCCCCCCTGCATCAGGGCTCCTTGCACTTCCCAGCGCGTGTGTCGCGTTGAGACGAGATGGCAGCGATGGACGGGTGGGCGACTTTGTGTGTTTTGGTAACTGGCTGTTGTCTACCGTGGCCCGCGCCGTCCAGTCACGAAATACGTCTGTCTTGATGTCAAGCAACGTTTACTCGGGGAAGACAGCAGGCGCTCAAGAGCGTCCGTGGGAAATGCCCACTCGGAGAAGGTCCCACCCCTGAAGCTGTGTCCGTGCTCCACAAAGCGCAGCACTAAGGCCTCTTTCTGGGTGGTGCAGGGAGTCTGGTCAGAAACGGTGTCGGTGAACGGTCACCAGGGTCTCAGGCCCACAGAGCCTCTGAGCTTGGCTCTCGAGAGCAGCAGTTACACTTAGTGGCAGGAGAGCTGGAGGAAGTTTGCGTGGGAAGAATGGCGACTGCTCGTTAGCGCTGCCTGTCATCGCGTTATTCAATGCTGAGTTGACCTTTAATTGTTATATTGATGTTGTATTGCAGCACCAAATTTATTCGGCGTGATTGAGGAATCGCATCCAAATGTTACAGATAAATCATGCTAAGCCTCGGGTGCGCCCAAGCTTTCTGAAGCCATTTTTGATGAGAAATACTGTAAAATGAGTTTTCCACTTCTGTAGTTGCTTGGACAGCGTTGACGTGGACGGACTGATTTATTCTGTGTGGGGCATCGCTGTGAGTTGCGCTGAGCGCTGTGCTTTGCTGAATCCTGGTTCTCGGGCTCATCTCTGGGTATCAGCGTCCTCGCTGGCACCGCTCCGATACCACCTCCTCCGCCTGTCCCCG